GCTTCATTTCTAAGATGGGTTTGGGGAGAGTGGATTTGGGCAGCCATAACGGGGTCCCTTAGTCCCCACCCTGTCCCCCACTTCTAGACCTTGGGGAAGCACAGCCAGGGAGGTGTGTGTCCTGGAGCCAACATCTCACAGTACTATCAACCCCACTAGTGAGCAGGTGGGAGAGAGACGGGGAGGAAACTGAGGAGGAGAAGGGTCAGATTTTTTTTTCAAAATCAGCTTTATTGAGATATGTACAAAAACCTCTCATTTTAAGGATATAGTTTTATGATCCTAACAAAGGGACACCCCCATAAAACTACCGCAGTCATGGAAAGGCCTGTTCCATCATCCCTAAAAGTTCCCTCCACCTACCCTGCACACCCCAGCCTCTGACAGTGATCCGCTTTATGTCATCCTAGGTTTCTTTCACTCAGTGGAATGGGAGATCTATGTCAGTAGTTTATTCATTTTTATTACTGATTAATATTTCACCAGTATGATTATTAGTCTATATACCAAAATTTATCCTTTTACTTATTGATGGGCATTTGTGTTGAGTTTTTTGCTCTTATAACTAGAGTCCAGTGTCTTCTTTTAATGTCGGCAGATGAATCATTCCTGTTCCTACAGATGGGAGCAGACAGAGACTGGCCAACAGATTGTACACTGCCTTTCTCATGTGCATCAAAATCACCCAGACGGCTTCTAAAAGCCCACTTGCTGGTCCCTGCCCTCAGACTTTCTGCTTCCACAGACCGGGGCTGGCTGGAGAATCTACATTTCTAACAAGGGATGCTGGTGGTGCAGTTCCAGAGAGCACACTTTGAGAACCATGGTCTCCCAGCTCGTCCTTGAGGAAACAGGAGGACACAGAGGTGGGTGGCCTCATCATGTGGCACTGTCTGCATCACAGGCCTCACTTATGCACAGCCCCATTCATCCCTCAAACAAAATGATTTTGAGAGCAGCTTTACGAGGTTTGACTTAATATCACACATTCACTTGTTTTCAGTATGAAATTCAACGATTTTTTAAAGTAAAATTACCGAGTTGTACAATCATCAACACAATTCGGTTGTGGAACATTCCCATCACTGGAGTAAGACCCATCATATCAACTTACAGCTAATCCTTGCTTCCAGGCCCAGGCGGCCACTAGTCTACTCTGTCTTCAGGGTTCTGCCTTTTTTGACATTTCAAGTACATGGAATCATGTAATATGTGGTCTTTTCTGTCTGGCTTCTTTAATTTGGCACAGTGTTTTTCAGGGTGTCTTACACCACAGCACAGGTTAATACTTAAAGCTGATGAACAATATTTTGTTTATGTAGACACACCATTTAATTCCATGGACAGGTCACATTGTTTACTCTTCATCTGTTCATGGACATGGGATTGTTTTTTTGGCTATTGTGATCCATGCGTCTGTGAACATTTATGTAGAAGTCTTTGCGTAGACCTCAGCTTTCATTTCTCTTAGGTATACAGTTAGGAGTGGAATTGCTCAGTCATATGGCAAATTCATATTTAATGTTTAAAGAAACTGCCTAATTGTTTTCCAAAAGGTCTGTACTATGTTATATTTCCACCATATAAGAGGGTCTATTTTCTTTAGATTTTTTAAAGGAGAGGAATACAAGAGAATCTGAGATTCACCTGGAGCGGTGTGTGCAGAAATGTCCTGAAAATTCCGTTCATTGGATACATTAAGTGCACACACAATAGTGTGAACAAGTTGTTCCCTTACGCTGGTTCCCATCCAGGCTCCACATCAGAATCATCTGGTGAGCTTTAAAAACTCGTGATGTCGAAGGCACATCTCAGACAATAACAACAGAGATCCTGTAGGGCTGGTATTAGGCATTTAGAACACCCAGAAAAGTCTGGTGTGCTAGCTGAGACCCTCTGATTCAAAAGAAAAAAAAACTGTGGAGTCATCTACTGAGATAATGACCTGCATAGTTACAGATGAAGAAAGACATGGTCTCCAGGACAAACTGAATGGGACTAGAGAAGTTTAATGTCTACTGAAGGAACAAGGATTGACTGGCAGAGTAGCCTCTATGATCACCCTCATATGCTTTTCCTGCTATTATGTCAACCTTTTTGACCATGAAGAGAAGGAGAGAAGATGATAGGCCAAGGGGGTGAGTGGGATAGGAAATGAATGGCTTCAAAGCCCTCTGTTTGTTTCTGAGAGACCTGAGCTGTTTAAACATCAGTGGATGGCTCATGAAGCAAAAGCGGGGTTACCTGATGGCTAAGAGTCCAAGTAGGGGGAAAGCCTGGCCCTGGGGCCAGAGGAGGGACAATGCCTCTGTTTCTCCAGGAGGCAGAGGCCAGAACAGAGCACACAGAGGCAGGCTAGCGGGGGATGAGGGAACTCCAATCTATGTTTTTTATTCTTTCCTCCCTCCTTCTGTCCCTCTTTCCTTTCTTCCTTCTTTCCTTCCTTCCCTTCAGTGAGTTGTGATGTAAGGTCATTTTGCAGAAGGTAGTTTGTGAGGGTAAGCAGGAAGCGGGGCCAGGGTTTGCTGCTTGAGTGAGAGTGGAGGAGATTTGAGAGAGTCATTGTTGAATGTGAGAATGTAAATTCCCTGGAGAAAAACAGCAAGTCCACCAGGCGGTGTTGAGAGTAAACTGTTGGAAGGTGTTTATGAATTTCCAGTGGCACTAAAAATTCTACTTCAGCTCCCAGGCGCAGGCAGAACGCTTGATCCTGAGTCACATAATACTGCCACAGATATTTAGAAAAGACAGAGGGGCAAACAATGTTAGGGTACAGGTCATCATTCCAAAATGATGGACTATAAACTCTGCTGGAGAAGGGATGGAGTAAAGGAGTAAGAGGTGGTGGGCGGAGTGGAACACTTAAATTACTTTATTACTGAGGTAGGGATGTCAAGGAACTGAGCCCGGGTAGGGGTGTCCACGTGAGTAAAGGCAAAGCTCACTGTCTCCACTTCCTCCTCTTTTCATCTCATTCCAATTTGCTGCCATCCTCTATCGGAGCTTTTATCAGTCTCAGACGACCTCCATGTTTTCAAGTCCAAGAAATATTTTCCAGCCTTCATTTTGCTCCGTGTTTCATTCTTGCAAGAGTCTCTTTCACGGGCTTCCAAGTCAACCCATTCTCCTTGTGTCTCTGGGCCAGAAGCTCCCGAGAATGGCTTCTGCTGACTGGGCTCTCGTACAGGCCCCTCCTGTGCATTACATTTGAGTTTCCTAGTGAGGGGAGTCCTCAGCTCTCTTGCCCATATTCTTGTTTCTCAGCAACCTCATCCAGGACTCATGGCTTAAATTACTACTCATCACCTTCAGTTTCTTGGGAGCTCTAAGCCCACATATCCAATTCCTACAGTCACTTCCACTTGGATGTCTCTGAAGTTTTTGAATTCATTTATTCACCTGAATTTATATGTAACTTATCCCCAAACCTGGTTATTTTCTGAGGCTCCCACCTCAGTAAACCTCGTGTGTAGTTAGGCAAGTCAGAAATCCAGGTACTGTCCATCCCCGATGCCTCCTTTCCCCATCTCCCCTCGTGCCATCCATCACTCCCGCCAGTTCTGCTCCCTCAGTATCTTCAGACTCCACTCTCCACCTCCTGTGCTATGGCCTGGAGCTAGCTTCTCACCTGAAGCACCTTCCCCGTGTTCTAGTCCATTCTCCACACCAAGTCCTGTGCTCCTCCCTTCCAACACCAACCTTCCATCGCTCTTTGAATAAATGCAGAAGCTTGTCATGTGACACTGGGACTGGTGTGGCCTGGCCCTGCATCTGTCCCAGGCCTGCTGGCCCTGTCAGCAACTCTGTCTGCCAGCTCCTCTCTCTCCTTCCTTGTCCCTCACTGCTCCACAAACATTTCTCCAGGGCAACCTTCCTGACTGCCTCATCCTGGGCTCTGTTGTCATTTGTTCTCCTGAGACAGTGGTGAAAGAGGCTCACAGGCCACATGCTTTGTCCTGGGAGCTGTGAATTCATCAGAGAGAGCTGCTAATCCCATCTCCCCTGTTGCAGCAAGTAATCACTTTTTCTGCATCATCAGACTGCAGTGTGATTACTGACAGTGATTTGCACTGTTCTGAAAGGTGGCTGGTTTTCCGGTCTTGTTTGTTTCTTGCTGAGCAAAGCTCGGGAGACCTCTGGTGGTCACCTGCAGAAAAATCTCACGTGCTGGGTGAGGACTCTGAGTTCTTTGTTCCCCACAAGCCATTTCCAAGATCAGCCATTAAAAGTAAAGCAGGACCATTATAAGGCAGAAAAAAATGGTTTGTACCAGCAATAGACCTGTGCTTTTTTCGGCCAGGCTTATGCTTTGCCAGCCCCTGTTGCTACATACAGCTATGATGGATGTGTGCGCAGAGGCTGTGATCTGTAAATCTGGAGGGGAAGGGAGGGCTTGATTGGTCTTCTGGAGTGAGGCACAGACATGCCCTCCAGAGAGAATGACTACATGATATGTAGTGTTCTAACAGCTCACATGTATAGTGTGCTACCCCAGGAACTGTTAGGAAGGGGGTTCTGGCTAGCTGGCCTCATGGGTGCAGGGCTGGGACCAGGGGACCTGTGAATAAGAGGCAGGTGGTGGAATATGCTAGGCTCAGGCTATTTGCAGAGACAGTTTTTGGAGAAAGAGAAAAATGAGGGCGGAGAGAAGGAAGTGGGTGTAATACTTATAAATGTCCAAGCTGCTTCAACAAGCATGTTTAGAAACCCAAGTTGCCTGTGGCTGCAGCCTGAGGCTGGAGGTTGGAACTGACAGCCCGCATGGGGAATCAGGCATTGAGAAAGGAGGCAGTGATGGATTTCTTGGGTCTTTTTTCAAAAGATTGGTAGTATTTATTCTTGCTTTTCATTAATTTTTGATATGTTCTTTTTTCTTAAGATTTTTAAAGTATTTTAGTTTGTGTTTAATTTTCTCTGCATGTGACAGCCTTTCAAAAGTAAATATAAAAATTTTTACTATTTCAAAACATTAGGAAATAAATGTTTGAAAAAGTTAAAAATCACAGAGATCAAGACTGTTTAATAGTTACATTTTTGAAGGAAGTTCAGTCACATTTACCTGCACTGTTACACATACCATTATTTGGACATTCACACTCCACTAGGAACATGATAAATTACAAAAGAGAGAGGGACTTTTAAAACCACATTTAATTTTTAATACAAAATCTGTTGCATTATTTTAGAAGTGACTCTTTCATGCACAGATAAATTTACCATCTACCATCATGGAAAAGTAAATCTATACTTTTATTGTTCTCTCAAAACACTGACAAATTTAAAGTCATTTTTATCTTTGTGCTCTCTGATGCCAAAACAAACCCATTTTATTTTCTGTATTTCCAATAGATAGGTAGATCCACAAAATGTGAATACGGAGACTTTGAAGTACTTAGGGCCATCCTGACCTGGGATTAGTTCAAACTATCCTTTACCTGCATATGTCAAAGACGCCCTGTCCCTAAGCCTACTGTGCTCCATAGGCAAAGCTCTGAGGATTTCAGCTAGAAACCTGCTGTCAGTATGGAGAAAAGTTCACTATTTCAGTTTCACAGCAAAAAAAGGGAAAAAACCACAGAAAAATAAATGCTTTCCAATCCCACATACTGTATTAATTAGCTTACTTCTTATACAGTACAACATAAACATCGTTTGCTATTTATTTGTAGGTAATACCTATAAGCATATAGCATCATCTACACTTTGAGTATATTTACAAATTCAACAAAATATCTACATATAAAAGCTTTACTTAAAATTAAACTTGATGCAAGTTATGAGAAACCAATTTATTGGCAAATGAAACTGAGCATTCTTTCAACCATAGGCTGTTATAGATCTTCATATTTGGAGCTTAACCATTTGGTAGATATTGTTTATGAATATGATAGGATCTATATATTTAAACTGCAGATATAATCCCTTTTGACTGTTGGTCTTTTAAGCACTTGTCAGATTCTGTAATGTGTCCATTGCAATTTTCATACACGTTGCTTAATGCTGCAAAGAATTGCAAAAGCTCATATAGGTCAAGCCTTAGAGAATAAAGTATTACGGTTGGCATGCTCTAGTATGCTTTTAATTTTAAAATAACTTGTTTGTTTTTCTATTAATTCTATCATGTTGCCATTCTTCTTACTGAATATGACTTGCTTGAATAGAAACCATAAAAGATCACAAAAATCATCATGTGCCCCAGTTGATGATAAAGCTCTTTTTATATTTATGGGGAAATGCTCCTTAAAATGATGTCTTACCATTTTTATTTTCATATTTCTTTTTTTTTTTTTTTTCAGTCTTGCAGTTTTCATTATCTCTGCTTTCTAAAAGTTACTCTTCGACAATGACAGGAATCTAGGATGGAATTGACCATACCAGCTGCTAGAGAATGTGTTATGTTATGGAATGCTTATTGTCTGAAGGCACTGCATGTGTATTGCCCTGTGTTTTGTGGAATACTTTTTGAAATTTAATTTGGGTGATTTGCTTTCAATTCTTTCAGTATGGCACAAATGCCAAAATGCATTGCAATACACATTGTTTTTGCCTAACAAGGACTGAATATAGAGATAATGTAAAAGTAGAACACTGTGTTGGTGTAATTCCTGGAAGATTAAGAAGCCTATGAAATAACAGGAGCAAAAAGCAGGCAACAGGGTCTCAGTAAGCATCAGCAAATGCAAGTGTCATAGTTAACTCATTTAGCAAGAATATACTGTACATACTGTTCCTAACAGTCTCCCAAAAAGACTAACAACAGCTAGACATAGAGTCACCAATTTCACAACAATGTCCACAAAGACATTGAAGTTCTAGAAAATACTACAGTAACACTCTTGACAATGAAAATGGAATTCATATTTAGGGGTTCAGCTGAGGATAGTATAAACGAAGTGTCAAATCATGTTTTGGTAACATAAACAGGTATGTACTTTAAATGCCTAGCATTTTCCATGCATCCTATTGTATAATGTTGATGATGTTGCATTGTTTTGAACAAGTTACGAAGAAATGGAAGAAATACACATTAAATGAAAAAGTATATGCACTTTGCACTTGAGTTCACATCAACATACCATTCGACTGAGTTGTGTTCTTGATTGAACTGTGCTCATAATATTAACATACAGCAGAAAGTATACTTTCAACCCATATGTTCATAGTATGAGAGGGCTGACAAACAAGTGCTTAAGATAAATATTCTAGAGAAATGCGACACTGGCAAAGAGCTTAAAGGTTAAACAAAGGAATTCATGGCGTTGACAGGAGATGGTGCCTCTGAACTTTCATTTCCCTCAGCTGGTTCTTTCTCTTTCTTACCGCTGTATTGTCCAATGAAAGAGCCATCCTCATTGAACTGGCCATTCACCCCCTCACCATAGTCAACCAGGCTATCATCACTATCTTCTTTTCTCACAGTCCTGTCTGAAGGTGTTCGACTTCCTTTTTTCAAAGGCTTGTGATCTTCTGCATCACTGGAAAAGAGGGGAGACATTTTTGTAAAAAAAATAGTGGTCAGGTAACATTTTATTCTTTTTTTTAAACATTTTATTCTTAAAAGATCATGCATGCAAAATATGAAAAAGCATTTGGAATCCTGAACTTCTTTAGCCAAAGCTAACTGTTGATTCCAATGACTAGGATGGAGCTGGAATGAAAATCAAGTGCAAAAATGGTTGAATCGTGAAGTCCTCAGTAGAGTGGATGGCTTCTGACAGTGCATGTTAATTTCAGTGAGATTCTGATCCCTGATTGGAAAGCAATCCAGAAATAACCACAAGCATTAAAAAGGGAAGAATTGAGAAAAGTTGAAAAATCATCACTATTTTGAATTCAAGGGGCGGGGTTGGGGCAAAAGCTTATAGCAAGTAGAAAAGTTAGTAGGTTAAACTGCACATCTCTGATATCCCATTCTTGGATGTGAATGGAGGAGCATGGATTTGGTTAAATGTGAAATATGGATTTTTTTTTTCTGAGCTAGAAGAAGCAAAAAAATCTTGTATTTCAAATAGATTTGTTATCAAGTACAGGCCAGACTAGTAAACTTCAACCTTACCTTTCAAGAGACCTACAAATCCCATTAAAAGGATGCAGAAGAAACAAATGAAAATAGCCTAAGAAGAAAAGCAAAATCCTTATACTGATAGTGCACAATATTTTTTCTATAAAAATTGTAGTCAATGGCTTAAGATTTATTAATTTGGAAAGAGACATATTTAAATATGTCTGTACATGAATGGAATGGCATGCCAGTATATTCAAAAGAATGTGAGTCCGCCCAGCATGTGAGTACAAAGACTTCCTGTACCCACTACTCCCTCTCTTATGAGTTAAGTCCTATCTTCCTACTCCTCTCTCATGCCTATCCATGTTGGATGGAAATCTGAGAGTATACTTTAATAAAACTATAGGATTCTACTACTACTACCTACTACTACTACTACTACTACTACTACTACTACTACTATGTTTCTTTTATGTTGAAACCCTAAGCACAATTTTTGGAAGTAGAAAAGTAATCGTTATGTTTAAGAATGTCCACTACCTGGGTGTGGTGGCTCATGCCTGTAATCCCAGCATCCTAGAAGGCTGAGACAGGAAGATGGCAAGTTTGAGCTCAGTCTGGGCAGTTTAGCAACCCAAAAAGACCTTGTCTCAGGAAAACAAAACAAAACAAAAAAACAACAAAGGCAGGGGATGCAGTTCAGTGTGAAGGCCCTGGGTTCAATCCTCATTACCAAAAAAACAAAAAAACCAAAAAAACAAAAGGATGTCCTTGTGGTCATATAACTATGTGGGTATGCACATTGACTATTCTTTTTTGTTTTTTTTGGTACCAGGGATCAAACTCGGGACCTTGCTGACTATTCTTTAATAGGTAACATTTGGGAAAAAATAGGCAATCCAATATTTTGTCCCTTTCCCCCCAAAATGCAAGGCAAAACAGAAAATATACACAATAAAAAGCCTTAACAAAGGTCACCTTAGCTGTGTATTTTTATTTTACCTAGCAATTTGTGTTAAGATTTAATTGCTCCTTCTATTTCAGAGAGTGATTTTTCTTTTCTAGCCAAGCCATAAAGACTTTAAGATGCCCAAATATTGTGGCTCTTTTTGTTTTGCTTTTTTGAGACAGGGTTTCTCTATGCAGTTTAGGCTGGCCTTGAACTCACTAGGTAGCACAGGCTGGCCCTGAACTCTCAGTGATCCTCCTGCCTCAGCCTCCCAAGTGCTGGGATTACAGGTGTGTGCCAACATGCTAGGCTTGGCTCTTCTGCCCATTAACTTCAACTTCATTTTATCTCCAAGAAGAATATCTTAAGGGTGGGAAGTAATGCTAGAAATATGACACTGCCATGTGCTATTGAAAATGATCTGTTTAAATAATGTACCCAGTTCTTTTGCAATTTGAATAATAGATTTTATCAGTGCTTGTGATAAATAACTGGAGTGGCATCAAAGAACCTGATGGTGGGCTGTCTTTGGGGGCATTTCAGAAGGCACAGTGTCTAGTACCCAAACCTACTATAAAAATAGCTTGCACAATATCTTTGGAATTTAATCATTAACTCTAGGCTTTGCTTGACTACTTCCTGTGAAGCATTAAGTATGACTTAGTGAGAAGGTTAATGCCACAGAAGAGTTCAATAATGAGCAGAATTTGTGATCTGGAGTCCAACTATTAGTCTTAATTCTGCTTTATGGAACTAGTGTTCTAAGGAATACACTACAAGAGTTTTTTTTATCTATGGCATTTTTTGATCCAGCAATCTATCTACTTATCATTTCATCCAATAAATGTTTTATTGAGTGCCTACTCTAAGGTTGATGTTGTCCTAGGCATGAGGGATATAGCAGTGAACAAAGGAAACTAAAATTCTGACCTCATTGAGCTTACCTCTAGTGGAGAAAAATACAATTACCAATCATTATAATAAATAAAGTTAGTGAGTCAGAAGGTGGCTAGTACTAGAGGACATAAAGATCTGAGTAAAGAGGCCAGAAGGTGTTCGGGGAAGGGATGGAGGGCTGGCCTTGAAGTAGGATGGCCAGAGAAGGACATGTTAAGAAGTGGTATCTGAGAAAAGACTTAAAAGAGTTAAATTAGGCAAGTGGATAGCTGCAGAGCAATTCTGGCAAAAGTCACAAGCAGTGTAAACACCCTGAAGCAAGGGCAAGGCTGGTGCATTCTAACAACAGTGAGGTGCTTGGTGGGGCTGGAACAGAAAGAATGAAGTAAAGAAAGGGCAGAGCTACAGAAGCCACTGGAGGGCTTTCAATAGATGAGGGACATGATCTGATCCACATTTTTTTTTTTCCTACTGGGGATCAGACTCGGAACCTTGCGCTCGCGAGGCAGGTTGTGGAACCACTCAGCTAAATCCCCAGCCCTAACCCACATTTTAAAAGCCTTCTGTTATTAGTGTTGGAAGAGCCTACCCTAGAGGGCAAAGTTGGTCAGCTACAGCAAACTTGGGCTGTGTACATTTATTGTGTATCACTTACAGCTGCTTTTGTGCTAGAACTGTAGAGTTGCAGCAGAGACCACATGGCCTGCAAAATCTAAACTATGTACCGCTGGGTCCTTTATGGAACAAGTGTGCTAGCTCCTGCTCCAGGAAGTCAGAGGGATTAATGCAGTAATCTAGGAGTGAGCTGACTGTGATGTGGACTGGTGGGGAACATTGGTACAGAATGCTCAGATTGTGAACATATGTTCCAGGCAAAGTCGGCAGGATTTTCTGATGGATTAGATGTGGCATATTAGAGGAAAAGGATGACACCTAGATTTTTGGTTTGAGCAACAGGAAGCTTGGGATTACCCTAACTTACTATGGAGTGTGGCACCTCTGAAGCAAGAGCAGGGGTTCAGTTCTGGACATGTCACAGTAACCACTCCCTTAGTAATTTTATGAGGCTAGTGCGGCACAAATATATACAATCAACAAGAACACTTAGAGAAAGTCAAACTAGAGGCTAATGCCATCCATGAACATATATGAGAAAGCTTCAAACAAATGAGCAAATTGAAGTTAGCAATCTACTAAAAAAATAATATATTATATCCTGGTTGGGTTTACTCCAAGAATACAAATCTTTTTAGCACTGAAACATCAATTCATAAAATTTACCATTTTAATAGAAGTATTTTATGGTGACCATAGATTTAGAAAAAGGTAAATGACAAAGTTTAACCTCCATTCATAATAAAAACTCACAGTATAGAAAGTACCTTCACTAATCTGATTAAGGATATCTACAAGAAACCCAGGGTAAACATCCTTGATGGTGAATGTGGAAAGCTTTCTGTTTGACATCAGAAACAATGGGAGGGATGGCTACTGTCACCATTTCAAATTGAAATTTCACTGGAAGTACTAAGCAATGTGATGAGAAAAAGAAAGAAATGAGAGGTAGCTGTCATTATATATATTATATATATAATGTCCAGAAGAATCTAGAGGGAAATGTTAGAAAAAAAGAGCTTAGCATAAAATCAAATTTTATTTGTGTCATTTCAAACAACTGGAAAGTAAATAATTTGTTATTCCATTTAAGGTGCCATCAAATATGAAATATGTGAGAAAAATTAAAATATGTGGAAGACCTTTGTGAAGAAAATAAAACTTTTATTCAGACTTATTAAAGAAGATATAAATAGAGGAACATAACATACGTATACATAGAAAACTCAAATACTGAAAATATGTTAATTTCCCCCTACAGCTCTTCATAGTCAATTTATTTGCACCTAGTAGGCTTTTATGTGGATCTTCAAGATGATCCTAAGATGCATGTGCAAATGAAAAGGGTAAATAATATCCTAAAAACTCCTGAAGAAAAACAAAGTTAGGGGACTTGACCTAGCAGATGTCAAAACTTACTGCTGTAAAGACAGTGTAATTTTGGAGCAGGGTTGGACTAATTGACCAATGAAATAGAATATAAAGCTCTGAGACCAGTGAAAAATCTTCTTTGTTGGCTTAATCTATCTATCTATCTATCTATCTATCTATCTATCTATCTATCTATCTATATTTTTTGGTACCAGGGATCGAACTCAGGACCTTGTGCAGGAAAATATATTTTGTTTTTTATATTTTCCTAAATAAAATCAGTTTTTAAAAAATCTCATTTTCCAATTGTTTGCTGGTACATACAAATATTATGAACTTTTATGCTAATTTTGTGTCAAGCAACAGTATTAAACCCTGATAATTTTAACGTATTTCCCATTTGGATTTTTTACACGAGCAATCATGTCAGTTATGAATAATGACCAGCCAGGAGGGGCTCCCTGGGCATCCATTCAGCCCAGCATCAGGGCTGTGGTGAATGAGATCACAGCAATACACTGTGCTACAAAGAAGAGGAGGGAAGATGTGAGGTCCTCTATCCACAGAGTTGTTCCAAGAAAAGTTGTTCAAAGACAGCAAGGTCTTGGTAAGCCTAGCTTTAAAAAGTGGTATGATGGAATACTATGCCCGAGTAAGCAATATGTAGTCAAAAGAGAAAATATTATATAAGGCACAAGCTCAGTACTAGACACATGGTTGGTGTCCCACAAACACGTGTCCACACCCCATCACCCCTCTTCCAGACAGAACTCTTCAGATGCAATGAGCGATTTCAAATCTGTGAAGCACTGTATGAGTTCAGAGATCAATTTCATAATGAAATGGTAAATAAAATGTTTTCGACATTGTGCCAAAGAAAGCTGCCTTGTCCAGATTAAGTGCAAAAGGGTAGTTTTCTAAATGACAGGAATGAAGTTATTGAAGATGATTTATTACATGCATGCATGAAAGGGTCACAATGAAACCCAATATTCTATGTAATTAAGACACACAGAGTCTATGTATAGATATAATTTCCCTATATGTAGAATAAAAGGTTATATATATACTTAGCTATGCAGTTTTCAATGCTTTAAAAAATCATTTATCCATGTTTGTAGGAGAACAATAAAATTAATGACAGGAGGTATCAGATATGAACTGCTAGGCCAGAAGGTAAAATGAATTTAAATGAATTTCAAAATATGTTATAGTGTATATAGACACAAACACCTTCATTACTAAGTCAAAACTGGAGCGCAGTGGAAATAAACATTCACATGCCAGTATCAAAACTCGGTTCCTGGGTCACTTCCTCCAGGAAGACTTCCTGCACCATTCTCCTCCTACACGGTGTGCGTGGCTTCAACTTCCTGGCTCCGCTTTCTTGGCACTTTAGTTGTGTCCTTTTCACACTTTGGTCAAACCACCCTTCTACTTTCCTGCATCCCTCACTAGATGATAAACTCTGAATGTGCCACTAACATCTATTGCTTTTAATACATGCAAGGCCTGGCATACAGCTGGCACTCAATAAACGTCACTTGGATAAATTCATGGCAAAGGGAGAATAGAGGAGACAGGCACTTCAGAAATTCTTCGTGACCCTAACATTAAAATATTTTATTTCTTCTTAATTACATAATGTAGATAAAGCACAGAAATACATTTTTCTTTCCTTTACACTAAGAATAAATATTAAGGACTTCAATTTTTTTAACAGTGCTTGATTCAGCGTTGTGCATAGCCATTAAATGCCCACTGAGTAAAATTCAGTAACAGCAAGTAAGTCTGTGATATCTGACTTTCCTGTAGTCAACACCTTCCCATGGTGAAACAAACTATGACATAGTTTATTCATGACCCTGAAACTTCCTGACCCACTCTCTAGATGTTCATTAGGTCATGTTGGTGAGCAGAATAAATATCAAGTATGTAACAAACGTGACACAGCTTCGCATCATGCAAGCTTTAGGCATGTGGGTTTGCAAGCTTGCAGCAGGGCCATGTGCACATGAATAACAAGATTCCCATGGCAAGAGCCTCCAATTACATAATAAACTGTGAGATCAGGTACCATAGGCATATGATTTATGACCTAGGTTCATTCTGGTTTTAAAAAGAATGCATCTAAAGAATAAGAAAATACTTACACAGTTGGTTGCATTGTTCTCTGATTTTTCTATATGCTAGTAAGGATGCAGATCCTACTGTCTGTATAATTAAAGAAACAAAGAAAGCTGCAGGCTTCCATGAGAGGATCACTGCTTAGGGGTGGGTGTTGGAGTGAGGGCACAGTTACAGCATATGAAAAAGAAAATCAAATTTAGCCGCCGTTGAAGTTCCATCCCTTTTTGCACTATGCAATGTCCCCTGGCTTGAAACCAACCATGTAGAAATGGTTTCATCCTCAGGCTGAAGAAGGAGAAAATCATAAATGGGATTTGTTTAGGCAACAGTCTAATTTTGTGGGTGTTGGTGTGTAATGAGCATTGTGATTCATTTTCGATAGGAAGGAGATTCAGAATCAATAAGTAAGAGAGAGTTCAGAACTTCCAAAAAGTGCAAAGCAGAGAAAGGACCCCGATGATTTAGGGAAGAGAATGACATTTATATGTATTATTTTAAAAATGATTGTGTAATAAACAGTTGGAACTGTTTTCATAAATTATGACAACTAAGATAACAAAGGTCTTCTGAGTTCCTTAAATAAAAATGATACCAAAGGGGAAAAATTCTGAGGTAGTGTCAGAGAGTTACAGGACAAAACCACATCTGTAACAAAGGGTGTCTTGGAATTAGGGAAGCAATTTAGTACGTGGGATTGTCCTCATGATAGTGGTGAAAACACCATCAGAACTTTGTTTCCTTTGGCCCCTTCAAGATCAATGTTATTACATGTGTGACAGTTACTTTTGTCTTTACTCCAATTGGGTTTGTATTCAATAGGCCCAAATTAAAAGTCTGTCTTAAAAATTTAAGGCAAAAGCTAAAGACAGCCATTTGAAAACGTTCCACAAACATAGCACAAATGAATTAACACTGCAACAAAGAAAGGTGATCAAGCGGATGTAAATCAAATAGTGATTATGAGACTAGGAACTAAATACTTGCTATGTACTGCTCTGAAAACAAAATCATATTAAAAGTTGTTAGTAGAGAACTCATAGAGAGCACAGAAATCATAGAACTAAAAAAGAAGCCTTCAAAGATCATCTAACACTTGAACAACTGTCTGATTTTATAGATTAAAAAACTGAGATCTAGACAAACTGAGTATATAAAGGAATCTCACATAATGGCTGAGTTGAAAGTAAAATGAGCAGTCTCTTAATTTGAAACTAGTTTATAAAACTTAACCTCCATTTAAATCAAGTTTTAATGGTGTAGGTAGCATAGTTACCCACAGAAAGTCATATTCTTTCAGGTCACTATTTGACATCACTGTAATAGCAAAGGGCTATTTGAGGCCCACAAGGGGAGCAGTACATTGCACATTCATTTAAGCATGATGTAGAACAGGAATCCATCGGCATGTGGGGGATGCATGAAGTGCAATGGATTATTTTCAGTTCATGCAAATATATCATTTTCCCAGGCTATAATAAAGATATCACCTCATAACAACAAATAAGGGAGTGGTGTGCATATACTGTATAGAATTATAGCCACAAGAACTCTAAAAACAAGTTGTTAGCAATTCCCCACTCACCTGCTCATAGAAGAAATGTGCAGAAGAGTGAGTTAAACCAGTGAAGATTTCTAATCCTCAGTGTCAGACACAGCTGCCCTAGGCTGGGGGCCTCTTTCAGGTGCCCTAATGCACTAGGCAAACCTTTTGGGTACAGTGGGTGGGTGGTGCTTGAGGATACACTTTCAGCCTCTAAACCAACACATGGCATCAAGATAACCCTCACTAGACAGACATTTTTTCCTGTATCTTGAGATACAGAAATTCTGAGAACTTTTAGAAACCATAGTTATATCTGTTGAAGGAAAGATCAGAATATGAAAGCTCAGGTACTAAGACAATGTAAGCAAAATACTCATGTCTGCATGGAAACTGGCATAAAGCCTTTTTTGTTGAAAATATATGTTTTTTCTCAATCAATTCTACATTTCTCACCCTTGGTATTATTTTATCTCAACTATTGACACAGAAATACTAAAAAAATGAGCTCCAGAGACAGGGATACTTAATGTAAGTATCTTTATCTACAAATGTTCCCTGGAAATTACAATAGTGAAATATTTTACTTTACCTAAATGTCTTTTCTTCTGGCAAAAAGTCTCAGTATGGGGTCAATGCATATTTTAACAATTATAGCTAATGTAATCAAGAAGCTTATAAAAAAGTGAAGGTATAAAGTCATCTTATAAATAGGAATGTTCTCTTGGAATATCAGAATATAAATCTTTTAAACATATTTTATTTCTGTTTTCATTGTTAAACATTTCTAAGATAACTATTTCTCTCTAAAGACCTATAATATCTAGGCAAGAATATTTTTGTTTAAATAATTTAAAAAAACATTTATCATCTAAGTTATGTTAAAAGTTTTTCTTCATGATAAAGTCAAGCAAAAAATGTTTTAACAAAGTTCTGTGGGTTAACACAGTGCCTAAAAGGGCTGATGGATATTTCCTAATAATAGCTTCTAAACAACTTTGCTATCATCTCATGACTAACAGTGGGGGTGCAGGTATTGTTTAAGGAACACTAGCTACAAATCCAAGATTAAAAAGTCTGGTGACTATCAGTCTTATAAAGCATGTTCCTTTTACAATGCCGGCCATGTAGAATCTAGTTTTAATTCTCACTCTTAACACTCTGGCTGTGCTAGATTGATCAACATAGCATGGGCTTCTGGAAAATAGAGTGAAAGATATTCTGCCTCCAAACCTATGACTAAAATGGAAATTTGTTTTTAATGAAAACTGAGAAAGTTTAAATTATGAGAGATGTGTAACACAGAAGTATTTCTAAACTTCTAACTGAAGAACATAGGCACTGGCTGAGTCCTAGCCTCGGAGAATGTGTGAGGACCGTATGTGAGGGGCAGAGCAGATGAGGAATGGAGGCAAAGGAGAGGCTCACCTGTACTCTCCAAAAGTTCCATCGTCCTCCTTCATGGGCTGGATTTCAGGATCTGCATGGGCATCTTCCTTTTCTTTAACTAAAAAATGCGAAGTTATATTGTTATGCATTGGTCTTGTACTTCCTGGTTCAAAATTTTTCAGAGCATACTCTAAGCTATAACCCAGTGGAAAATAATTCTCTACACCAGTAGATGTTGAATTACCATATACACTATGTGGTCACACATATATTTTTGATATTCTAGTCGTTTTGAGTAAACCTAATAGAATGACCACTAGTTGACACACAAAGTTCACTTTAGTCTCTTATCTGATGGAACAATTTTTTAAATTTCCAAGATTTCTTTCCAACTTTATCCATCTATTTATTAGTTATATTCATAGTAATAAACTGTTTTTGTAAATCTATTCTTTGCAAGGTTCTTCCAGTAATGGAAGGATAAATGGTCAGGTAAAAAAAATACATATTCACTGGACCCACAAAATCAAATAAACCATCAACCTTATTGGAAAAGCAATGTTACACTTCATAATATCCAAATTGGGTTCATACAATACTTCTGGGGAGTTTCACCCCCCACCCACATTGGTTTTAGGTGCTACTTCAGTATTCATGACTTCTGTGGAGCCTCGGGAAGGAGGCCTCCTCATGTTTTCAGAGAACAGATTGATTTGCTCCTGCAGATGCCCCATGATGCTTAACAATGTTTAGGGTGCCATTCTATAAAAAGGGATCAAAATCATTTGAATGAAAAATCTAAATTTATAGCTCTAAGAAGACTGCAGTCTACATGATTCTTCTCAGTTCAGTGGATAATCATGCAGCATTATACAGCAATTTTTGTCTTTCTTACCTGGATATTTGCCACCCTTGTTCCTTCTAATGAAGCAAACGATCAGCAAGATTAAGATAAGGAGAGCGACAGCACACATGAGACCTATGAACCAGCCCTGAGTTGCAATGTCCACCTGCCGACTTGCCATTGCTGGAAAACAAACCGAGGGTGTTGGTGGGAATGTGTTAAGGCGTGACGAGAATTAGGGTTGGTCTCTTGTAGTAAGAAACTGCCATAGTATATATGCTTTTATATATTTTATATGCAACACCAAATTAGAATCTGTCAGTTATCAATGAATCACATAAAAACTCTGAAAAATCTTCACTATTAAAAACATTTGAATAGAGAGATACAAATGCTAATAACATTACTACTAAACTCTTATAAAAACTGTGTTCAAAATTATTTTAACTCCATATTCTCAATGAAAACATATTTCCAAGCCAATTAAAAATCTACTTGTTGTAGGATAAATTTTATATTAAGTATAATGATAAGAATATAAAACAGAATTTTAAGCAGAACAGAATGTATACATTTAGTGGAGTATTTTTCCTTCAAAGGAGACCACTTTTGGAGGCTAAAATATAATTGCACCACAGATGCCACTTTTCAAAGTGTTTTGGAAATCTTCTGTTACAAAAAGAAAGTGGTTCACACAGGAAACCTGATCACATGAGAAAACCAGCCATCTTATCCTATGTAACACCTCAGTTCTGAGAAGCGCCTAACACATCAAATTCATCCTCAAAGAATCAATCTCTGTTATTGCTTAGAATCTACTCAAGACTATAAAATATATCTTGACCAGTGGAATCACTGTTTGAATAAATGACCATTTTGAAGAGAAAATACTCATTTGCATGTATACATTGACTTTATTCCTTTATCTCTTCTGTTTGAGTAAATGAAAGGGAAGCCCTTACTCAAGCAGTCTTAGTATGCAAAGCTCCCAAGAAAGCCACAGGATAATTAGCACTTCTGGTATTATTCAAAAGTGTCAATCATATGGGACAAAGTGCAGCATCAATAGCCATTCAGACATGCCCATGCGGATTTGTTTAAACAAATTTTATGAGCCCTTTATTAAAGGCCTTCCTTTTTGTCTTTTGCCCACAATCAAGGGAAAAGGTTTTCTTCTTTTGACTTTGTAACCATGCCTATATCATGCTTTTAACTGGCTGAATTTCTTCTGAAAACATTTCACATGGTTGGGTTAGATGTATTATGATCCCTGGCTGCAGAAATAAACATGGTTACATGTATCCAGTCTTTCTATATGTTGCAAAAACAACATCTCATTGTCTCCTTTTCTCCACACCAAGGAGAAAAATGAGATGGTTAAAATCGAGTGTGAAAAGGAATGTAAAAAAAATGTCTGGAAATATATTTAAGAAATAAAAAGAGAAGTGGTACTATATTAACTGGAGTGCAAATCAGAGGCCAATAGCCCTACCCCAAGAGCCCCTTCAGCCTCTTCAGAGGAGTTTAGAGCTGTACCATAACCAGACACAACTGGAGCATGAGTATAGGCAGCTCCCCATTCCCTATGCACACCACGGTGGTCATGATGATGGAAGAAGATAATGGTAACAACAATGACAACTCCCATTTGGAGACCCTTACTACATGCTAGGCACTGTGATGAGGGTACAGTCTCATTTCATCTTTACAACAGTCCTTTGAGGTAGTATTAGGAATAAACCCATGGCCAGAGAGGGCAAAGAGCTTGTCCACCAATGGAGATGGCTCCACTGAGCATGCTATTACATTCTACTGAAAACACATACAGACACCAAATCTGCAGACTTCTGAACACAGAATAAAATGCTACAGGGACTTTCTAGACTGAGACAGGCAAAACATTTGCAAGGTCTATCATTACTTTCTCTTTGGATATGTATATATATATATATATATATATATAT